CCCTGTGCTAGGACACTACATCCCTCTTACAGTTACTGCTGTTGAACTAGGTACCACATATTCTATATCATTGTATGCATTTCATTTTTCCTGATCAAATTATACTGTATTCTCAACCACAGAAGCTCCCTGAATGATTTTGGACCAGACTCTCTCTCTCTCAGCCCAACCTTATAAGGTTGTTGTGGGTAAAAAAAAATAGGAAGAGCTATATACTGTATGTAACCTTATGGGCAAAATTCGAAACAAAAGGTGGGCTATACACCTAGTATACAAACAAATATTGTGGGTTGGAAAAAAAGACATAAACAATGAAAATACAAGAGAGTTATATAAATGGATAAAATCTCAAATAAGGCAAGACTATTGCATAATATTTTGAAACCATTATCTGGATACTGGATTCTAGATCATGGAAAGTCCTGAGGACATTAATGAAATATGCTCTAGAAATCTTTTTCCACTAACCTTCCTTGCATTGTTCTAGCATCAGCTCTTCATTGCCTTTCAAGCTTTTGAGCTTTAGTGAGGCTTCAGACACCTTGGTCGTTCTTTCAAAAGGAAATATGCTAGAGATCTTTGCAGCTTCCTCTTGTAAGATCTTCTTGGAATTTTTGGCATGCAACATTTTGGAAAAGCAGGCTATTTAGCAAAATTGCAGGCACCTGTGCCACTTTCTTTCCCTCTTATTTGAGCTTTTTCCTGGGGGTTAGCATGGTAGAGTTGCCAATAAAACTGCAAGTTTTATTGTAGTTTTGTAGTTTTGCAGCCACCAGCAAACAAAGTGCAGTGGGCATTAACAAGAAAAGAAGAAATCTCAAAGAAGGGATTTAAGGCAGAACAGGCTTAAGAAAGAAATGATGAAGCATGCTAGTAATAGTATGGAACAGTATGAAATATAAGCATGTCATTGTCATAGAATACTAGTGATTAAATGGTAATCGTATAAAGCATAGTATAAGCTTTGTCATGGTATATTATAATGGTAATTATTTGTCAAATTTGCTTAATAAGCAACTAGGCAGTGTACAATTAAAATAAAAACAAATTGTATTCCAGTGGGAGGCAATTAAAACAACTCTGATGAAGAGTGGGGTGTGCTCATTTTGGTCTACATAAGTACTAACACACAAATGATAACTTCAAGAACCAACTATAATTCCAGACACATAAATATGCTAATAACTACATCAACAAGACAAACTAAAACAAGAAAAAAAAATATGTGAACCAAACCAGCCTTGGAAGCAGCATTCAAAAGAACAGGACTGACTGCAGACACTTTAAGAAAACATGATACACATTTTTTTAGGCAGTAGGAGATAGAAACAATGATAGTGTGGAAATGTCCTTGTGTTCTCTTCATACATGGATAAAGCCATATTTTTACCAGAGCCACATGCTCTTGTTGGAAGAAATATCCTTCTGGGTTCAGTTCCAAGTGGGGAAAATGGCTGTTGGTATATTTACCTGAGCACAGCCTTTCTATACACGCTACAAGAGAGCCCAGCAATGGGTAAGACTCCCTCTGATATAATCGAACTGAGTCTGCCAAAGTATAAAAACCAGCCCCTGCTGCTGGCCCCCAGCTTTTTAAGCGAAGAAACTTGACAAACGTAGTGTGTCTCTGGAAAATAAAACAGTGAGAGGAACCCTCCCCAACCAAGACCAGACGAATACAGGGTGGGTCTGGACTCTCTCGCAGCGTGTATAGAAAGGGCATTCTCAGGTATATATACCAATGCCCATTCTCCTCCACGCTGCTACAAGAGTCCAGCAATGGGACATACCAAAGCCTGCATGTCCAAGGAAGGGTCATCATCTGGTCCGCTCAGTCCAACCCTGGAAGAACCTTCTGAAGCACCCTTCTACCAAATGCCACTTCTGTAGAGGCGAAGGAGTCCAGATGGTAGTGCCAGATAAATGGAGATGGCGATGCCCAGGTAGCTGCCCTGCAGATCTCAATGGACACCTGGGTAGCCAAGGCTGCCGAGGTTGATACACTCCTAGGAGAGTGGGCTGTGAGCTTCTTGGGAACCAGAAGTGATAAAGTCTTGTAAGCAGTGGAAATACATGCCCTGATCCATCTGCCCATCATAGATGAGGAAATCTTGCTCCCCAAGGAAGCCGGTTGGAAGGACACGAACATCGCTTCTGTCTTGCAAAAGGTAGTGGTATGTTTAACATAGATACGGATGGCTCTCCGCACATCCAGCGTATGCCACTGATGGATGGTGAGATAAAGAGGATCTTTGTTATGTAGAATGGATTGGCCCAGGCCCAGCAGGGGAACTGAATTTCTACCTCTCTGAGTTTCTACTTCTCTTTTAGGGGAAATACTCTGTCTTTTTACTATATCCTAAAATATTTCATCTTTCTAGAAGGGGGTTAACTTCCAACACTCTAATGTAGCTTAATATAGTTAATATTTAAATGTAACAGATGGATATAGCAAATAACTTTAAAAAAATGTATTCATCTGTAATTAAATCAGATTTAACATGGCACAAGTTTTATATCCTCAGCTCGCAAATGTGTTTGAACTTTGCACTGACATTTCACGACGGTGTATTGTTTCATTGTATTGGTGTATTGTTTCATTGGGACCACTGTTTACTCCTGCTCCTACCGAAGACAGGAATCAAATGGCTAATTATCAATAACAATTATCGATAAAATCAAATATTCAAGACACTGATCACAGCTTTTCCTAAATGTACAGCCCACCAAATGCACGGAATGGTGTGCTGGGAATTCCGAGAGCGGCAATACCCAATTACAATTACATTCATCTCGGTTCATTTAACTTCAGACTTATGGGAGCATTATAGTTAAGCCTGCCCATTACTGTTACTGAGTTTATTTTATTTACACGCGTTTATTTTGTTTACACACATTCCCATCCCGCGTTTTTAAGGCAGAGTAACAGTTCTCACACCCCAACTCCCAACGACTTAAAAGCCGCTTTCAGCCCGCCCTCTACGTCTCGAAACTACAAGTTCCACAAGACACTGCGCAGCGGCGCATGCTCATATATACCCCTACGAATTCAAGATGGCAGACCCGGGTACTGGTGGGTCTAGTACCTTTAGCACGGTAAGGAGGATTCCGGGATTTCTTTTTGTGGTACATCCTGTACATTAATCAAGTTGCGTTCGTGTGATCTGGTAGCCCTCTCGGGCTTACCTCGCAGCTTCTCGGTTGGGCCGGCGCGAGGTTCCGGGTACAAGGGACTGTTTCTGTTCTGGCACAGAATCTTTAGAGGCGAGCCATTTATGATTTGCGGAATCCTTTGATTCTGATTGGCTCCAGAAACTGTCTATCCCCCTTTCAAACGGTTCCGAGTCGAGGGAAGGAATTCAGTTCCTTGGTAGGTTTCCTTATAGTATCTGCAAAAAGCGTGATAAACGCCTGGCATCTACGACGGCATCCCAAACATGCACACAGCCACCTGAGATCAGCACAAACATGTTTAGAAAGCCAACACTTCAAATGCGTTATCTTTCCCCTTTTATTTTACTAGCTCTTTACACAAGCGTTGTCCACCCGGTGTAATGTGCAACAGTTCTTTGATTCATAAACTTAAGGATGGGTCTCTCCTTGAGCGAAAATACTGCTAGATTTAAAGCTGCCCCATGGCAATGCAAGGTCTGTCCCTTTCATACATGTGCTCAAGTTCATGATGCATGTACAAAAAAGATGAAATTCAGGTTTAGTGCAGGCTGTCCCTTTTGGCACATTCTGAGGAACACCCTAGATTTTCCTGGGATTGCATAGTAGTTTAGGAATGTAGGAAAGTACAGAGCATAGCAAGAGTCAGACCCCATAGATCAATCACGATATTTTTATTTAAAGAAAAACACTATACTAGGGAATGTTTAATGGTGTCATAGCCAAATAAGGGAGTGTTTAAAAGAAAATGGCAACCAATTCAAACAAGAGTATAAATATGGGATCAAACTTTTGGTAGGGCTCCGCTGGCAAAGGACCACAGGTGCCCCGACATGAGTGATGTTGAGCTGGCCATGCCCCCATTCCCCACCCTCCCATGGTCAAACCCAACTCTGATGCGGCCCTCAATGAAATCAACTTTGACACCCCTGTTCTAGAGTAATTGGTCACCTGGACTTGGTATGAGAAGAGGAAAACAATTCATGTTGAAGTCATATTATTGTTTTTATGTCAGGGTTCATTAATTAGTAGGAGAGAACATTTTTCATGGTTAAATAAGATTCAGCTATCTCCAAATGATTTATTAATAATTAATAATTGATTTTTATTTTTAATTGTACATTATGTAAACCAATCAGAATATGTAAAATTTGAGTGGCATATAAATTATATAAACAATTTTTAGCTCTAGTCACTGAAAAGTGGATTGTGAAGAAAATGCTGAGTTTTCACATCAGAAGTTTGGGAGCACCTTTTCTGA